GGGATATGCTCCAGGCTGGTAAATTGCCTCTGTCGCCGTCTGGCGTGTCTGCGGTGAGATCTGGGCGCGGCAACTCTTCGCACGAGGCGTCTCCGCACGAATCTCGGCCTCGGGGGGGCCATCGCCGATCGATCCGGCGCGGAACACGGCGCAGAGAGGTGGGGTCGATCCCCTAATAATCGTCACCTGGGGGGGAGCGGGGGAGCGGTTTTGGAAAGCGGTGCTTTGAAAGCGGTCCCTTATTACTTCGTCACCTGGGAGATGGGGTCTATCCCCCAATAATCGTCCCCTGGGTCCGGATTTTGAAAGCGCTGTTTTTGGAAGCGGGGGGGTCCGGTTCATCAGGGTGGTTTCTGCAAACCGAAGACGGAGGGGGCCGGAATATTCAGGCCCCCCGTTGACAAGGGGGTCCAGAAAATGAGGTTGCCGTTGAAGGGGGCCCGGTTCTTTAGGGGGACGATTACTAAGAGATTGCATGCTCTGGTCCCCATTTGTCGCGATGCTGCATGCTTTTTCGCCGCAACGTCGGATCTCAGGGCGAGAAGAGGAGAAGGAGGAGGAGGAGGAGGAGAAGGAGGAGGAGGAGGACGATGAGGAGGAGAAGGAGGAGGATGGGGAGGAAAAAGAGAAGGAGGAGGAGGAGGGGAAGAGGAGGAGGGGGAGGGGGGGGGAGGAGGAGGAGGGGAGGGGGAGGAGGAGGAGCCGCCTCCTCCTCCTCCTCCTCCTCCTCCTCCTCCTCCTCTGGAGTCTCATCTGCGGGCCAGCTTCCCGAACGGGGGGCTCGCCGTGGCTCCCGACGCGCTCTGCATGGGCCGCCTGGCCTCGCGCAGCCTTCGCCCCGTGCGGCTCGGCGCGCGGGCAGCCTCTCCGCGCGACCGCGCCGCCGCCCGAGGGGGGGCGCCTGGGGGAGAGGGCCCTTCGGGGATGGACAGACCTCCCTTTAGTAAAACGTGGTTTAGTGAAAACGACCCCTTCTAGGAGGCCGCACTGGAGGAGTCCGAGCGGAAGTTGGAAGATGTGGAGCAAGTTGCCGCACGGGGGTCTGGGGACGCCGCACGAGCCCGCCAGAGGGCCCTCGGCGAGGTGCCGGCGGGCCTCGTGGTGCGCCCGCCCCGCCGCGCGCATCAGCGGGGTCAGCCGGACCTCCTGGCGGCGGGGCTGCCCTGGGACCAGGGCCGCGCTCACGGCGACGTTGGGTCGCGAGGACGTGGGGCAGATTCCCCCATCGGGGCTTGCACTGGAGGAGTCCGAGCGGAAGTTGGAAGATGTGGCGCAAGTTGCCCGCCGATGGTGTCAGCAAGCAGGGTTCCCGGGTTCCCGGTTCCGGGCTCCCGGGTTCCCGGTGATTGGTTCCGGGCCGATTTCGGTGGGTTCTGGGTTCCTGGGCTCCCGGGTTCCCAGTCGATCTCCTCAGCGAAAACCATCCACTGATTGGGGCTTTTCTCTGGTGTTGTTGTTTGTTCTGTTGAGGCCTCCTAGATGGGGTTGGAGTAGGTGGGGTCGGAGGATCGCGCCGCATCGGCGATGCATCGGCGAAGCCTCGGCGACGCATCGGCAATGCACCAGCGATGCATCGTCGACGTGGGCGATGCACCAGCGCCGTCGACGTGAAGCAAATCTACTCCGACCCCTTCTAGGAGGCCTAGATTTTTGCGACGCCGAACTCGCACAGCACAAGTTGCAGGACAACGCGAGCGAGCCTTTCCCCCGATCGGGTTGGCTACGAACCACACCCACCTGCAGAGCCGAAACCTACATCCCCGTTACCTCTGCCGCCGTTTAGCGTGTCTGTCGGGGATGGACAGTGAAAACGACCTGAGGCCCAAACCTGGCGGGCGCAAGCCTGGAAAATCACGGCCGCGGCGCCATCTCGAGAACCGAAAACGGACAAGTCACTGATCGACGTGTCACTGGTGGGGGTTCTGTCCACCCCCGACCTTAGTGGGCCCTGGAAACGACAGGGCCGTTTGTTTACCGGTCCCGTTCTGCCGTTTTTGTTCCCGGCCCCGACGCCGCTTTTTGACCGGCTCCGTCGCCGTGTTGTTTGACCGGTTCCGGCTCCGGTTCCAATCCTGGAGCCGTTTTTGTTGCCGTTTCCGGTCGCCGTTATTTTGCCGTTTCCATTTTCAAGGGGCATTTTTTGGTAATCGGTGAAAAAACGGCCCTGCCGTTTCCGGGGCCCACAAAGGAAAGGGCACCTCCCTGGCACGGGCGCCGCGAGGAGCGAGGCGCGGTTGCCTTCGTGTCCCCCCGGCTGTGGCCATCGCTCGGGCGCCCATGCAGCGTTCGATTTCGCGCGCGCATTTTCTCGCAGGGTGGTGCAAGCCTCATGAGGCGATCCCCGCTTGGGCAGATTGGTCTGAGGAGCTGCAAGCCCAAGTCACCGACACCTCTGACGAGCAGGGCCCATCCATGCCTACCGCCAGACTAGTTGACATCCATTTTCGCCCTCTTGTCTGCTCTAGTTCAAATGCTGTCCACAATATAGGCCGTGGTTGGAGGCTTGGACGGGGAGTTCGCCTCCTCCATGTGCAGTGAGTTTGTCCCTTGCGCCTGAATGCGCTCGATTTTGAACACGTATCGTGCTGTTCGTTTTGAGCCACCTGCTCGATTCTGCGGCTTCTCCACTTCCTGTGACACTATGTGGCTCTCGCTTCCCCTCTCTGGGCGTAGCGTGTGCTGTGGTCCAGCTCAGACTTCTGTGTTGCACGAAATTCAAGACGCGCAGTTCTGCCGCTAAGCAACCCTGCTGATTAAATGTGTGGTTTGGCACGTTCTAGCGCTTGCCCTTCCGGTGCCGTCTCTCCGCTGCCTTCAACACGTTGGCAACGCTCTGCAAGTCTGCGCCTGACTAGCGTTGAACGCTGTGTTCAAAGAAAGGCTGGCCACGGTGCGAAAGACCCGACGAGCGCACCCTCGCTTCTGCCCAGTGCCGTGACATGGCGGGCACGGCCCGCGTCGAAACAGCTCCATCTCTCTCTCTCTCTCTCTCTCTCTTTCTCTGCCAAGCAAAGGGGGGCGACGCGCCTGCGGCGTCAGTTGGCCCGCGCAGAGCGCGGCCGAGCGCAGGCTAGCAAGACACGGCCTGGTGCACGAGCTCGGGAGGGCGAAATCGCCCGAGACAAATGCAATGCTAGGCAGCACGGCAGTCTCGGACAGAAGGACAGCAAGCCGCCGATCACCCTCTCAAACAACTCTTCATGCTCCTCAAGCAATACCTGGAACATGATCCCCACCCTCCTGCTCCTCCTCCCCTTTCCTCCCCCTCTTCCCCCTCCTCCTCCTCCTTCTTGTCCTCCTCCTCCTCCTCTTCCTCCTCCTCCTCCTCCTCATCCTCCACGTCCTCCCTCCTCCTCCACTCCTCCTCCTCCTCCTCCTCCTCCTCCTCCTCCTCCTCCTCCCACTCCTCCTCCTCCTCCTCCTCCTCCTCCCCTCCTCCTCCTCCTCCTCCCCCTCCTCCTCCTCCTCCTCCCCTCCTCCTCCCTCCTCCCCCCTCCTCCTCCTCCTCCTCCTCCTCCTCCTCCTCCTCCTCCTCCTCCTCCTCCTCCTCCTCCTCCTCCTCCTGCCCCTCCTCCTCCCCCTTCCCCTCTCTCCCCCACCCTCCCCCCGCTGCCTTCTGCCTGGAGCCTCCCCCAGGAGCTGCCCCAGGGGAGCGGCTCCTCCTCGGCGGGCCCGAGCGAGACCTGCCAGGGGGGGAGGGCGCAGAGAAGGGATCCTGAGCGCAAGCGCCGCAAGGGCACAGCCAAGCCTCCAACGTGGCGAGAATCACAGGAGGACAAGGCACCGATCATTGCTGCCCTAGCCTTGTTTTCGCCTTTTTGGGCCTCCCGGGGGGGCCCTCGTCGCAAGTGCTGGATTCGCCTCGGAATTCTGGTCGGAACGCACCCTGGGAGGTGTCCGTGGAGAGGTGGTATCGATGCCTGTGTGTCTCCCCATGGAAGGCCGCGCCGGCACGTTCTGAGGCCTCGCGGCAGGTGCGTGCGACCAGAAGCCTCGCCACAAGGCGTTTGCAGGGCACACCTGCCGTCGGCAATTCGACTTCTTCGAGGTTCCCTTGGGACCATCGGGGGATCACAAGTGTCGGTCGGGCCCCTGATGGCGGGGGGGGTTCTTGTGTGACGTGTTTGATTGAATTGCCATGGCTTCTGGGCGACGTTCCCGAGGCAGTAATACAGGAGCAACGAACTGCATGAACATAAAAATGTCAAGGGGCCCGCGCGGATTTCTTGTATCTGCGCTGGGCCTCCTCACTGGCGCGCGGAGCGCGCCAGTGGCGGCGCGGCCCTGCGCAGACCTAGAACATCTGCGCGGAACTCCCAAGGGTCATGTCGTCGGTAAGAAACTTCTGCTCGGCGTGTCGCGGCGGCGGCCCCGGCGACACGCTGTGCCTTACAGACGGATGGCGTGTCGCTCCGCTTCTCGTGACGGGAGGCCAGGGCAAGCTCGATGCGTGGACGCTCCCGAACTCGGACGTGGCCAGCGTGTCGCGCCGAAGCGCTGGTGGGCCAGACCCGGCGGCGCGACGCGTCGAGCAGAAGTCCGCGACCGCACGCCGTGCTCCCTTCTCCTTCGGCTCTTGCGCGAGGTGCCCGCACGAAGTGCCACGGCCCCTGGGCGACGCGCCCGGGGCAGCAGACTCGCCGAGGAGAGCGGCGGGACCCTTCCTCCTCGTCCTCCTCCTCCTCCTCCTCCTCCTTCTCCTCCTCCGCCTCCGCCTCCTGCTCCTCCTGCTCCTCCTCCTCCTCCTCCTCCTCCTCCTCCTCCTCCTCCTCCGCCTCCGCCTCCTGCTCCTCCTCCTCCTCCTCCTCCTCCTCCTGCTCCTCCTGCTCCTCCTCCTCCTCCTCCTCCCTCCTCCTCCTCCTCCTCCTCCTCCTCCCCTCCTCCTCCCCCCTGCTCCCTCCTCCTCCTCCCTCCTCCTCCTCCTCCTCCTCCCTCCTCCTTCCTCCACCCACCCTGGGGGGCGTGGGGGGGGAGAAGGCGGACCACGTCGCCCTGCCCCGTCATGGCGCCGTGCTCGCCGAGCTCCAGCACCTGCCCGGCCGTGCGCGGGGCGGCGCCGCGAGGCCCGCGGAAGCTCTTCTTTTCTGCGGGAGGCCGGGGAGGCTTTGTGTAGGCCCCCCGGGGGCCCACGGGCGTGGCCTGGGCCCCACTGGCCGATCTGTTCCCCTGTATGGGACATGTGTATATATATATATATACATATACATATACATATACATATGCATTATGCCTATATGTATCCATATATATACATATATATCCACATATATTTATATCTATAAATGAATAAGTAAATACATAGATGTATGACCATATACATCACTTGAAATGAATATATATATATATATATATATACATATATATATGTATATATTAATATCGATAGGTACTCTCGCGGCGATGGACCTGCCGATGCTCTCGTCTGCGTGGTCAGCGCGGGGCACAGGACAGGAAGCGGAACGGATTCACCCGCGAAGCGTGCCAGCGACCAGGGGGGGAGGGAAGGTGGGGAAGAAAGAGAGCGGACGAGGAAGAGGGGAGGGGAGAACAGACTGCTCCCTTCGGGCTTCGAGGTGCAGATTCTCTGCCGAGGCGGTGGGACGGTGGGGATCGAGATGCGGATCGTTTTTTTTTTTTTTTTTGGCAAGTCGCACGAGTCCTCTCACGTTTAGCTGCATTGGCTTATCCATCTGCGCCGCTCGAATTACCTGGCATTGGAGCATGCATCAGGTCGACGCTGAACTGACGAATTCCTGTCAGCAACGAAGCATGTTGACCGAATTCCTAAGTATTTCTCGGTCGAATGGCAAATCACTTCTCTATTCTAATCCACAATGCTGGCTAGCTTGCTGCAACCGGCTTGGGATCGAGATGCGGATCGTGACAGGGACCGGTTGAACGATACAACGGGGGCCCGACCACAAGAATCCTTCCACAAGAAACCCACCCGGAGACCCCAGGACGTACATCGATGTTTGGTGTGGGAACGTCACGCTTTCCAGAGCAAAACCTTGGAAACCCAAGACACCCAGGGCACCCTGGAGGCAAGCAGAGTCTTTCCTGGCATGGGCCTCCACTGCACTGGTCCTGGACGGACAGCGGATGCGGCCCGACAGCCCCGCCGAGCACACTGCGCGTCGGCAGCGCCGGCGGGCGCAGGCGAGTGTCCGCATAGGCAGGCGGGGCGCGCCGTGCTATGAGGCACGCGCAGGGTGCGCCCCCGAGAAGGCGGGAAGCACGCCGCACAGCAGGCCTGGCCCGCCAACGCGTGCCCGGCGATGAGATCTTGCCTCCCCGATTGGCCCGAAGAGCCCTCGGGCACACTGCGAAGCTCAGGGTCGGCGAAGCTCGGCCGCATCGTAGGTGCCTGCTGTACGCTCAAGGCGCGCCATAAAATGGGACGGGGGAGAAGGGAGGATGAGGAAGTCCTCCTCCTCCTCCTCCTTCTCCTCCTTCTCCCCCTCCAGCCTCTTCCTGCCTGCCGCGCGGCCCACCAAAGCACCTCATCGCATGTGCCTGCTCTGCACGCTCTACCTCCACAAGAAAGAAATCACCCCTGGCCGTCTTCGCGGGTGGGCGGCGCTCTGGGGAAGGGTCCCTTCTGGTATGGACGGGGCGTCGGCAAGCTATGAGCAGACCAGGGGTGCAGTGGGGCAGCCTCACTGAAGCAGAAACCGCTCCGCGGTGCAGAGCAGACGCGGTCGGAGGATCGCACGGCATTGCCGGTGCATCGGCGACGCAGGGCTGGAGAAACTCGGGCCTGAGATCGTGCCGCATCAGTGATGCATCGGTCATGCGGCGCCGTCCTCCGACCCTGTCTGCTCCAGCTCCACCTGGGCGGCCTGCAGACATGCTGCTAAAAGGAACGCTGAACACAGCCGGCCCGTATCAGAAGCACGCCAGGGCCTCGGGCGCCCATGCCGAAGCTTCTCGGGCGGGGCGCGGCCAACAAAAGTGGCCAGGGATGGGCCGCCGAGGCAAGGGTGCAAGGGGGCACCCTTGGAAAGGTTGCCCTGGGGGAACCACAAGTGTCATGGTGCACAAACGTCAAAGCTCGGAGGCCCGCGCGGAGTTCTCGGATCGGCGCTGGGAACCCCCCTCCCTGGCGCGCGGAGCGCGCCAGGGGCGGCGCCGGAGGCGCCGCCGGGGGGGCCCCAGCGCCGATCCGAGAAATCCGCGCGGACCTCCGAGCTTTGATGTCTATGCCACTTGTTGTTCCCCTTATAAGCCCATCCCTGCCAGGCGGGCGGACCGTATACGGAGCGCGTGGGGCACTGCTGGCCTCGGCGAGGCTCCACCACGAGCGGGCCTCCCGGACACGCGCTCCGTGGGACAGGCCCTTGGGCACCGGAGCCCCCTCCCAGGCCCAAGGAGGGGGCTCGGCGTCGTGGCCGCACGTGCTCCCGCGCCTCCCCCCGCCCTCGGCGGCGGGGAGGAGCAGTCCGTGGACGGGGCCAGGGGCACGCAGACGAGTGCACACGCATCCCAAGAGTCCCCATGCTTGCTCGCGGGTTCTGGGTGTGCGTCTCCCCCCCCCCCGCCCCACTTCCCAGATGTTCCCATCTTCTCCTGGGGATCGACGATTCACTGTGTCTGTGTGTGTTCTCCACCTCCTGAATCAGGGCAAGCCCCTGCAGGGCGACAGCCAAAATCAGGAACGGAGGGCGAGCCGCTACGATCAGGGCCTGAAGAGGCCTGGCCGACCCAGCTTCGGGCCCTGCCAGAATGAAGTCGGGCCAGTCCCTCTACAGGAAGAATGTTCAAAACTAGTCAAAACATAATCCAGGGGGGCGATTGTGCGAGCATGTTTGCAAATCTTGTTTTGCACTGGATTGAAAGCCCCCTGTAGGGGGACAGTCCCGACCTGCTGCCAGAAATGGTCCCTGCCCCAGGTCGGCCTTGCTGTTCGCTCTGTGTTGGAGCCCCCGGGGCTCTCCGTGCCTCGTGCGGGGTGCTCCGAGACTCGCTGGGGCCTCCCCGGGGATCCTGGGAACGGCCTGGGCCAGGGGCGCTCCTGGCAACACCCGACAGCTGGTGGTAGGTCGGGCAGCTCCACCTACAGGCCTTGATCAAAATGACACTTCAAATAACGCTTACATTAACATAACACTTAACATAACACTTAACATAACACTTAACCTAACACTGAAAAGAAGCAGACGATGAAATAAAACACTTACGATAATGATCCACCAATTATGGGGAAGCGTCCCCAGACTAATTATGTCTTGATCATGTTCGAGCGCTCCTCGTGTAGAGGGACGTGCCCGGCTCTGAGCCAGTGCGAGGGACACGGCCTCCGAGGGAGACTGGCCCTGGACCCCGGGGGGATTCCGCCGTCACAGGCTTCCCTCCCCATCTGGGGCCGGGTGCAGCGGAGGCCCGTCCACAAGAAACCTTCTGCAATAAGCCCCACCCTGAGACCCCACAGGACGTCCATGGATTTCTGCTGATGTGGGGCATCACGCTTCCCCTAGAGAAACCATCGGAGCCCAGGAGACCCAGGGCACCCTGGAGGCGAGCAGGGTGTTTCTTGTCATGGGTCTCCGCTGTAAGAGCTCCCAGAGGGGCCGCCCGCAGCGAGGAGCTGAACCAAGTCAAGGAACCTCAGAGCACCCGCCCCTTGGAATCCCGACCCGTGCGGGCGGAGGCACTGCGCACGTCGGATGGGCCATCCGCCCTTCTCCAGCGCGGAGGAGGAGGAGAGAGGAGGAGGAGAGAGGAGAGAGGAGGAGGAGGAGGAGGAGGAGGAGGAGGAGGAGGAGGAGGACCAGAAGGCAGAGGACAAGGACGAAGAGGAGAACGAGCTGGGCGAGCTCCTCTTGGGCTCATCTTGCTCGCCCGACTGGCCGTGATCGTGGCAGTTATTCAGTGGTGGCCGGTTGGATCCCCATGGGCTCCTTTGTGTTGCTGTGGCTCCCCTCCCCCCGGACAACCCCTGTCGCAACACTTCTCCGCGGTGCCGCCACTTGTTGATTCCTACCGGCCCTGCGAGCCTCCGGCACAACACCGAGATCGCAACAGCACTATTCCGACGCCCAGGTTGCGCAGCACAGGCTGCACCAGAAAGATGGGCACCAGACGCGCGATGGGCACGCGAAGGCGCTAAGTGACGTCCCCGCCCCCACGTGCTCTCCCGCTTAACTGACACGGAGCACGTGCTCGCAGCCTGGGGGGACGGCCGGTGCCCGGAGCAGGGCGGGCTGCGGCGGCGGCGGCACAAGATCGGCCCCCCGACTTCGGATTCCTGGGCCGCGCCCGGCCGTGGCGACGAGGCCCTCCCCCCCCCCCAGACCCCAGACCCCCTCGAGTAATGAAAAAATCACGACAGGAGGATTTTCCTAATTTTCGGCCTGTGGGGGCCCTTACCGGCCCTCAGGACCGTCAAAAAACGATTCAGGATGAAAAGCCGGTCCCGAAGAAGGGGTCCGGACCCCCAAAGGTCCGGACCCCTTCCCCGGGACCGGCTTTTCATCCCGAGTCGTTTTGTGACGGTCCCGAGGGCCGGTAAGGGCCCCCGGAGGCCGAAAATAGCGAAAAACCTCCCGTCGTGATTTCTTCATGACTCGAGGGGGTCTGGGCCGAGAGGCCCACTCGCCGGCCAACACGGCACCGCCCGGCGGCGCCCCGAGGCGCGCGCCGCCGCGCGCGCGCGGGGCCGCGCGCCCGGCCAAGCGCCGAGGCCCCTCCCTCGTCGGGCGGAGCTCGGGGGGGGGGCCCGGGCCCGCGTGGCGGCAGGCCGTGCGTCGCCCGCCTGCCGTGGAGGGTCCTGCCGAGGAGGGCGGCCGAATGTCGTCGTCGTCGTCGTCGTCGTCGTCGTCGTCGTCGTCGTCGTCGTCGTCGTCGTCGTCGCGCGGTCCTGGGGCCCAGGAGGCCCCAGTCCCCCGAGGCGCCCTCGGAGCGCGGCCCGGGGCCCTTCAGCAGAGCGCGCGGGTTGGCCCCTCGAGCCCCCCGACGGCCTCGCCGCGCGGGCGCGGTCGCCGCCACCGCGCGGGGGCCCCCGAGGAAAGGGAGCGCCATGGTCCTCCTCG